TCGGTAATGTAGGGTCAATTCAAGTTTTAATCCAAAGAATTCTCCCACTAATGCTATAATATATCTGTGGTTCCAAACAAAACTGTTTTTTATAAGCCAAATGTTATGAGGTCAAATAATTCTAAATTTGTCAGCTATTTTGATCATTCCAACTCCTTAATGCTCTAATTGTTATGAAGAATTTTTTTGCCAATTTATTCCATATTCTCAGCATTTCATTTGTTAAATCCTGAAATTTTATAATCTCCTCAGGCTCCTTTTGAGCTATTAAAGTGTCATTTGCTATTCCACATCTGGAAGTCTGGAAGTAAAAATGTGCATTTCTTCAACAACTGTGCCGTACAGCAGGTTGTCTTCTAGATAAGTCTATGAATTTGTAAATTTCATCAATTTTTTATGCAGTCCTTCTGCTCACCTTTTCAATTTTATGAATATAAAAGTACTTTGGGCATCAAATCTATATTTTCTGCATAAAATCCAATTTATTGTTTTTACTGTGTAATGGTGCCTTTTCTTTTAACTTTCCTGGGTTTCTGTTGCTCAACAGTCTCACCTTTTTCTTTTCATGATCTATGTTCGTTATTTCCATTTTTAAAAATTTTTTGCTTTTATGCCATTTGTTCCTAGGGCAGAGGTCCTCAAACTTTTTAAACAGGGGGCCAATTCATGGTCCCTCAGATTGTTGGGGGGCCGGACTGGCTGGGTGGGCGTGGCTAGGTGGTCATGTCACTCGGTGAGTGTGGCCAATTTAGCAGTCCATTAAACAATACACACAAATTAAAATTTAATTTGTTTTGCTCCTGGGGGTGTTTTATTTGCTTTTGTTTCCATGTTGCTCTTTTGTTTCCATGTTGCTCTATTTACTACATCGTTTTTTAAGTTGTTTAGGAGTCTTCAGGAAACTCAGTTTTGCAGCAATTCATCTCAGCCCCAAGGAGCTTATAATCAACAACTCTCTCTCTCTCTCTCTCTTTCTATCTCTATCTCTATCTATCTATCTATCATCTATCTCTATTTCTCTATCTCTCTTTTTCTCTCTCTCGGTCTATCTCTCTCTGTGTGTCTCTCTATGTCTCTCTCTCTATCTATTTATGTGTCTCTTGTCTCTTTCTCCCTCTCTTTCCTTCCCTCCCTCTCGCTTTCCTTCCCTCCCTCTCTCTTTCTCTTTCTCTCTGTCTCTCTGTCTCTCTCTGTCTCTGTCTTCTGGAGGCGGGGGAGCAGGGGAGGTCAAAAATGGGGCGTGTGGGCCTGTTTTTGGCCTGCAGAGTGCTTCTGGATGGGAGGAGGCCAAAAACTGGCCTGTTTTTGGCCTCCTGGGGCATCCACGTACCCCATTTTTTGCCTCCCCCCACCTCCAGTAGCACTCTGCAGGCCAAAAACTGGGCATGTAGAGGCTTCCCGGGGTGTCTGCATGCCCCATTTTTGGCCTCCCTAGCCTCCAGTAGCACTCTGCTGGACAAAAATGGGCCCATTTTGGCTTCTGGGGGCATCTGCACGTCCCATTTTTGATCTCCTCTGCCTCCAGTAGCACTCTGCTGGACAAAAACGGGCCCATTTTGGCCTCCTGGGGCATCTGTGAGCCGCATGTTTGACCTCCCCCGCCTCCAGAAGCATTCTGCCAGACAAAAGCAGGGTGTGCAGAGGGCTCCCGGGGCGGTGTGGGTGGTGTGGGCGGGGCAGCCTTGTGGTCCTCAGCGGGCTGGATTAATGGCTTTGGCCAGCCCTATGCAGCCCACAGGGCATAGTTTGAGGACCCCTGTCCTAGGGCTTGTCCTATGCTACAAATATTAAGCCTTCTGTTTCCTTTTTGATTGATCCAATATGAAGCCATTGCCAAGTTTTGTTACTCTCCACATAGCCTTCAATTTCATTCAGATTTTGACCATGTATATGTTAATCTTTTCCATTATTTCGTTTACTGTTGTAACTATTCAGTTTTGTGTGCCACCTTTGATACTATCATATTCAGAATGCTTTCCTTATAGACATAAATTAATAACCATTCTTTGCATCTTTTTATGTAAACATTTAAACCTCTGCTTTCATTGTCTGCTTCATTTGCAATTCAACCACCAATTATCCTTGGTATATGCAAACACAGTGTGTCACTTCTGAGGGCTGTAGTACATGATTTATTATCATAGATTTCTGGATCTTGCAATCTAAATCATCTACTTCTTCTTATATTGATCTATAGATACTTAATATGTATCCTGTACAAAGACAGTCTCCTGGTTTCTAGCTTGGTGCTTTAAACACTAGACCAAACTGCCTCTAAATTTCTAGGATTGCTAGGAAACCCTAGATTAGCTAGGATTGTAACATTGCTAATCCTAGAAATTTCTAGGATTAGCAACATTATAGGTTGTTAATATCTTTTCCAAATTTATGTATTAAATTTTTCAATCTAATCTTTTATTGTTACTACTTTTGTGAGGCCATATAGGAGCTGATTTGTCTCTTTGATCATTTATATTATATATATGGGCAATTTCTAAAGTATGTATGTATAATATATAATATTTAGAGACAATAATATTTAGAGACTGACTCATACAGCAACTCTGGACAATAATTGATTCTGCAACCACATTTGGTGCATTATGGTAATTTTTAGCGCCTTTCAAAGGAAATAATCTTTCTCTCACTGTTCTCTGCATGCCAAAACCTTTTCTCTAGGTTTCTGTTATTTGGACATTTATGGTTGTCATTCATTATTTTGAATTGGAAATTCAAATTTTTAATTGACTGTTTTCAGATTTATCTTTATCTTGGCTTGTTCTTTTCAATTTCATATGTTTTATTTACTTTTTTTTTATTGCTGTTCCAATTCATTTAGTTCAGGGCCTGTAAACATCTTTTTTCTGAATATGAAGCTTTTCTGATCAATAAGACCCTCAGTCATATTTGATTCTGGAATTTTTTTTCCCAAACTTCATACACCAAGTTCTAGAAACCATGTCCATGGATTTGTGGTTTCATAATAATAATGGTAACCATAATAATAGTTCATAATTTCTTGATTTTCACTGAGCAAAATGACTTTTTAAGTGAACAAAGGCCCTTAAAATAACTCACCATTCAAACTGCTGACTCTGGTTGTCCAACCCTAAATAATATGTCATTTAGCAAGTAAGTAAGATTCAAAAACACTTGAAGGTTACTTCAGTTCCCAGTCGAACAACCCAGTCTGTCAAGGAGTGTGAGGCAAGGCATGTGAGATACCAACAGGGCAGTAATTACATAAATTGCATAACAGTATTATATAACTGTTTTCTCTTTCATTTCATTCAAATGGTATAAAATTCCCCTTTCTTCCTCTCATCCCAGAAAATGGCAACCTTTTATTTATAGTCAAAGGAAAATGTATAAGAACAACCCTCATCAGAATTGCAAATAAACACAAGGGTATATATTTAAAAAGTGCAAACTGCTTAGATTATGGCTCTCAATTCTCTAGGAACGTGAATAAAAAGTGACACATATCACTTTGTACCATCTTCCACAATGAAGTATGAGAGGATCAAGTTTAACTCGGAAGAACTTACAGAATCAACATTAAATCAGTTGTTCTTTGAGCAGGCAAACTCTGAAGTAGCAAATTTTAAAAAAACACATCCTGTTTGCACAATACAAATGAAGGCTGCATTATTTATTATTATTATTGGTTCGATTTATATGCTGCCCTTCTCCGGAGACTCAGGGCAGCTTACAATGCGTTAAGCAATAGCCTTCATACTTTTGTATATACCTGCTTAGTAGGGCTTTCGCCCCCCCCCCCAGCGGTGTTCTTTTTTATACAAAGTCAGCTTATTGCCCCCACAAACCGGGCCCTCATTTTACCTACCTCGAAAGGATGGAAGGCTGAGTCAACCTTGAGCCTGGTGAGATTTGAACTTGCAGTAATTGCAGGCAGCTGGTGTTACTTAACAGCAGTTTAGTCTGCTGTGCCACCAAGGCTCATTTGCCTTTGAGGGAGGATAGAACAGGAGCCCAAGATAAAATGTTCAAACCATAATTGGATTGCATTATAAATAAAATAAAGTAATACACAAAGTAATACTGTCTAGTAAAGAGCAATGGGACAAGATCAGTGATGAAATTCAATTTTTTTTACTAATGGTTCTGTGGACATGGCTTGGTGGGCATGGTGTGGCTTGGTGGGTGTGGTTTATGGGCATGGCACCCCTGCAAAATCCCCATTCCCACCCCACTCTGGGGCCAACCAGAGGTGGTATTTGCCAGTTCTCCAAACTACTCAAAATTTCAGCTACTGGTTCTCCAGAACTTGTCAGAACCTGCTGAATTTCACCCCTGGACAAGATAATTATTTATCCTGCTTGTCCTTCCCTGTATTCTCCACTATAATACTGACCCTGTCATGATGACAACTTTAAGAGTGAAAAGGAAAGTGATTCATACTTCTTTTTCTGCATTCTTTTAGCAATATTCAAAAAGATGACGCATATATATCTTCCAGCCTAACATTTCCCATTGTGGGACCATGTCATACATCATCTTGGCGATGGGAATGTGGGCTGGAAATCCTCATTGCCGACGTCAGTCTGGATCACGTGAATGTCACATTCAAGCACACTAATTGTAACAAACATGAGGTGCCAGAAGATGGCATTTGATCAGCTTTCATCCAAAGTTCAGCCATAGAGAAAGGACTAAAAGAGTGTTCCTGATATCTACAGCACAAACATTGGATGCTGTAACCCAATCAGTGCCAAGTATCTGTTGGATAAATCCAGTCTCTATTACTGTAAGATATTAATATAAACAACAAGGGTGACTAAATGCCCAGTGTTCGTGCATCAAAGGAAGCTATACAAATCTTTACCAAGGCTGGATATTGTTCTTGTTTTTACATGTAGCCAACACAAAGTTCCTATCATGACTACAATTTCTGAGATGATGTGATATCAAGTAAGCATTATGTAGCAAACAATTACCTTGTCTGATGCTGTACTCCTTGTGACATAGTAACAGATAAAGCTGTTCATTTATCTGTTTGGTGTATTATCTGTTTGATCGAAGATATGATGTGATGATGTTCTGTGATGATAAGTAACCATTTAATGGAATTGGGTCAAGGAAAAGATTTTTGTATTTCTTCTGGGGACTTGGAGAACACTTCAACTGTAGCAAAATAGTCTGGTGCTACACATCCACAATCCTTCTGAGCAGTGGTGGGATGCTGCCGGTTTAGCAACTGGTTCGGTGATCACTCATGCACGCGCATGCACCATTTTACAAATACAAACCTTCTGTGTTACCACTTGGGAGTAACACAGCTGAGGCGCAGCAATCCATTCTGCTGCACCAATCAGCTGAGAAGATAAAGGTAAGTAAAGCGTAGGGGCGGGCAGGTGGGCCGACATGATCGTCTGAGCGAACCGGTTTGCTCCCAGCTGATCGTGGGAGCTACCAGTTTACCCGAACCTGTCTGAACTGGTAGTATTCCACCCCTGCTTCTGAGGGAGAATAGTACTGGCCCACACTCAGGCTCTGCCAAATCAACATAGCTTAGTTTCCCTCAGGGTGATGCTTTACATGTAGACTGCAACTCCCATCTGTTCTGATCAATATTCCCATACATATGGAAATTAACAACAACAACAAAAGATAATTCCTCTAACTGTTTTATTTACCATAGTATTCATTTTTCTCATGCTACTGATTGGTGTGTCTTTCAGTCTATGTTTCTTTGAAAACATCTCTGTTGCTTGATAAGCCCTGGTGTAGTCTAGCTATAAAGAATATTATAGTTAAGAGTCGGTCTGTCTCATACCATCTTTTACACGTGAATCATGCCTCTAGTTAACAGACCTGCTGAAACAAAACTCATTCCATATTCTTCCACCTACAGTATTAAACAGGCTGTTTCCTGTTATTTACTTTTTAAAGGCAGGGGAAGGTAACAGATCTACCTGAAAAAATAAACCACAAAGATTATTTTTTAACATCAGTTTTTCTGATTGTTCCAATTCAGCATTGGGAATATTAGCAACTATATTTTATATCTGGGTTTCAATCATATTTCTTCAAGAAATTGTTCATCAAACTACATAGTTTTATTCGCTTTAACAGATTAACACATCAGAGGTTACAGTGGAACAAGTGCATCAATCAAATAGATAATTCAACAGCATTATCTGTTACTTTGTCACAAGGATTGTAGCATCAGACAAGATATTTCCAATTGTTTGCAACATAAGGCTTACCTGATTTTGAATTACAATAGAGAGGATATGGAAGCATAGCTGACAGATGCGTAACTACCTAATTACACCACATTTTATCAGTACTACACAGGTATATTAAGAAACAATTTACTATACTCAAGCATTCAATAGAGAACTGATTTCATAGCACTCACCTACATACATACATACACACACACATACACACACAAAAAAACATTCTTCTTTAACAATAGAGTTATTGGCCAGGAAAGCAAGTATAACTATTCTCATGTCTAGGAATCCAAAGATACTCGATAATGATCTGTGACATTACCAGATGGAACATAATATCTGAATTTTACTAAGTAAATGGATATTAAATTTATATTCAAGAAGAGCATACAAAGCATTATTCTAGGAGATGCTGTGTATCCTATTCATTTGTTAATACAGGTTAATGCTGCATTAAAGAAATACACAAGCATTTGCACTGGTTAGAAAATTAGTTACAAATGCACCATACCTGGGAAGGGGGGGGGAGAGTCCAAATTATGAGGAATAATTTATAAGTTAATAATATAAAATGATCTCTGGTGAATTAAGATGCAAATATAGTATGTATTTGTTTTCATGCCTCTGAAATAAAAACATATTTTGCTAGCAACAGAAAGATGCTAAATAAGCTGGGTTAGGCTGTATAGGAAATGGTACATAAAATAATTTATTTCACTTATTGCATATATATGACTGTACATCTCACAAAATGACTCAAGCATGAAGCTAAGCCTGGAAATCTAGTCTATATCTTCTCTATTTTATTGAAAACCATATGAGAAAGACATGCGGGAAGCTGAAGCTATGGGTTTTTTTTTCGTTCTTCTTTTGTATCTAGAAATGTAAGAAGAAGCAATGATAAAGAACATCAGCTAATAAATGAAAAGAAGGAAAATCAAATATATGTGAAACTAAGGGGAACGATAAATACACAATCACAATCTGAATAAAGACAACCTCTTCTTCTGGAGGAAAGCTGATGAATATATGTAGAGAAATAGAGGTATAGTTTTAATTGTGAATGAAAAGAATTTAAATGTACAGGTAGTCCTCAATTTACAACTATATTTGGGTTTTTTTTTTCTTTTTCATTAAGTATTTGAATATATAAATAGAAAAGATACTTAGAGAAGTAACCGATTATATTAAAATGTTGGACTGTATTACTTAAGAAAATGTAAGCCGTTGTTCCCCATTTTGCAACCTTCTTTGCCATCGTTAAGCAAATCACTGCACCTGTGAAGTGAATCATACAATCATTAAGTAAATCTGGCTTCTCCCACTGACTTTGCTGGTCAGAAACTGGGTGGGAAGGTTGCAAATAGTGATCACATGATCGTGGGACAATGCAACTGTCATCAATACATGCCGGTTGCCAAGCACCCACATTTTGAGTCTTTAAACATTCCCTACCTTCACACACAAACATGAACATTATGGTCCTGGTCTAGATCTATTATCTAAAATTCGAAAGGCCTACCTCGCTTCAGATGAAGATTTGTTTTTCAGATGAAGATTTTGGTTTTCCACATATACAGCTCTGATTTCTTTTTGGACAATAATGGGGATAAGCAGAAAGTGAAAAACCCATACTATTTTAAGTGACAACCAGGTTGGAAATTTCACATCTACCATTTGCATTGGGGGGGGTGGGGGAAAATACCACAACTGATGTGTTTTCGTGCAATTACAGATATGTTTCTGCTAGTGGAGCAAGGAGGTAATCATGGGGTGGGTTCTACTTACCTTTACTACCACTTCGCAACGGGGCCGCGCACACTCTTCTGCACATGCGCAGCAGTGTTCTCATGACGTCGGGGTTGGTGGGCGGAGCCTCCCACCAGTTTTACTACCGGTTCTATAGAACCGGTGTGAACCGGGGGCAACCCACCACTGAGGTAATCCCTTCCACCACAGATTGACCCTTGTCTAAATCTAATTCAGATCATGCCCTATGTCCATGTGATTTCATACTGGCTGGGCAGGAAAAAAGGCTTCTCCTTTCGCTGCTAAGTAGAAGCTGAGAAGAAAGTAGAAGTCCAGGTTTGTGTGGAAATCCAATTATCCAAATAAAAATTTACTTTAATAGTAAAAAAAAAAAAATGCTGATAGCAGTGCAGAGGGTTTTTTAAATTTTTATTTATATACTAGCTGTATCCGGCCACGCGTTGCTGTGGCCCAGTCTGGTGGTTCCGCTGGGCTAAAAGAGCGAGGCTGAAGTCCCAAACACTCCAAGAACATTTGGTGGGCGTGGGCAACTCGATGTCACTGACTTTCATCACATGACACCCCTCCCCAGCCACGCCTATCCAGCTGGTGATGGAGAAAAAAAATGGTCCTTTTCTGGCGACTGGGGTTGGTGATGTTTATAGGCCGCTTCCCCCCCACCCCCGAAAGCTTATCCAGGGGAGGGTGGTCTAGCTGGTGAACTGCTGGTCAATTGCTGTGGCTCAGTCTGGTTAAATGGAAAAGGAAAGAGAAAGTGCACGTTTCTAATATGTTTAATTGCACAATGCTTGTGGGTATACAATATTTTTTGTTGTTCCATTGTGTGTGCAGATATAGAGATTGTCTGGTTTTCCGACTCTAGAACATGCGACATATAATTGTCCATGTGAGAAACAATCCATGTGTAGATCTAAACCGCAGATTCTAAAGATTGGCCCCGAGCTTTGTTGATGGTGATTGCAAAGGCCAATCGAATTGGGAATTGCAATCTCTTAAACTGAAATGGCATATCATTGGAATCATAGGAATGTGAGGAATGAGGACATCCTCACCTTTGAAAGGTCCTGTCAAGATTGTTGCTTCTACGACGTTGCTCATTAATTTTTTTACTGCAAGCCGCGTGCCATTGCAAAGATTTGGCTGGCTGATATTTCGCAACATGATAATTGGCACGCCGATTTTCAATTGCAGTACGTGTGGTGGCATCCCTGTGAGATCGAGTGAATTCAAAAATTCTGTTGGCTAATTAACCGCTTCATCTGCTTCTACGACACTGTCGACGGACTTGTATGTGACTGCCTCTCTTTGAATGTTAGACTGAATAATATTGTTAATTTCGTAGACATCTTTGTTCTTGGCCGCAAGAATAGCTCATTCACTCAGCCAATTGTGATTGGTATAATTGGTTTGAATATTGGGAGATACTTTTTCAACCAATTCTTGTTTTGTCGTCACTAAATTGCAGAAGTTATGAGGGAATGATATTCGTCCTGTGGCACCTTTCCGTTCCCAATTTCCAGCAATTGATGTGAGAATATTTCAGCTGATCGATCGTTTTGCAGCTGGACACGCATATTTGTAGTTAATTTTAATGTCTTTACGTGTTGCCACAAAGTAGAGTATTTCAGGGAAGCATTTATTTCATCCGCTGGTGTTGATCGAGGAATTACAGGTAATGTTTGTCTGAAATCTCCTGCAAGCAATATTAATGCGTTTCCAAATGGTGTGAGGTTTCCACGCAAATCTTGCAATGATCGATCAAGAGCCTCGAGCGATTTTTTGTGCGCCATTGTGCATTCATCCCAAACAATAAGTTTGCATTTCTGCAATACTTTTCCCATGCCGGATGCTTTGGAAATGTTGCATGTGGGAGTTTCAATGAATTGCATGTTCAATGGCAATTTCAAAGCAGAATGAGCAGTTCTTCCACTTGGTAGCAATGTTGCAGCTATTCCGGACGAAGCAAGAGCTAAGGCTATGTGATTTTGGGATCAAATTGCTGCTAGAATCAATCTAATTAGGAAAGTTTTACCAGTTCCTCCTGGCGCATCTAAGAAGAAGATTTTTCCAACCCTATTATTGACAGTTTGCAGTATTTGATGGTAAATGCCTTTTTGCTCAAGTGTTAGTTTAGAAATATTTGATTGCAGATATGACAAAAGATCACCCGTGTTGTAATTTTGTTCACGACACAATTCTACATCGAATGAAGCATCAGCAGATTGATTTGGTGATGGCATTCCCAATTGATTGAGAACTTTGTTTGCAATTTCTAAGCACAAATCTTCAATCATTAGCAATGCTTCGTTGTAGATTTCTGCTGTGAAATCCATGTTCATATTTGAATTCTCCTTGCGTATTTGATGTAAAATATCTTCAGCCATGTGCGACTTATATTTGTCCCATAACTCTGTTGGAGATGAAGGAGAGCAGGCGGTCAATATGATTGCAAACAATGCACGAATTTGATTGGGATGTGATGTGTTGCACGCATCATTAATGCATACATCCCAGTGTTGGTCATTCTCCAATAAATTCATAAATCTCAGTAAAAACACAACTGCAGCTGTGGTGTAGTATGTTTCCTCAGAGAACAGAGCAGCAATTTTTATAGCATTTTTAAACATGTAAATGTTTGTGCTACCTGAGTCTTCTGTATCTGGACTGCTCATATTTTTTTGTTGATATATTTTGGAATTATACCTAGTGAAAAATTCGTGATTTAATTTTCAAAATTCATGAGGTAAAATGATGGTGTGTTGGTTTTACGTCCAGCAAATGGCACTGTTTTTCAATATTTTTAAATGTTTGTCAATATCTTTCAATGTTTTCCAATGTTTTTCATGTTTTTACCTGTCACAGGTGAGACATGTATATAATATAGGTATATAGAAACACGCCCGTAGTCGAATGCAACATTGTGTCAAAATTTGAAAGCAATTGGTGAAGAACTTTAGGAGATGTGCGGTTATGTACAAACGGACATTTACATTTTTATTTATATAGATTTATTAATTTTATTTATATATTTTCTCTTTGTATACAATAAGTGCTTAGTGAACAGCGTACTGTCTGAGTCAGTTTGTTTACATAACAGTATTAAACTCCTAATTTCTACCTCTATTATCCAACCATTGATAAAACGAGTCAGAATATTGAAAATATTCTGTGTCTTCTTTTTCTTTTATCTTCATTGTTAGTCTGTTCATTTCTGCACAGTCTAATTTTTTTTTAATTATCTCTTCTTTAGTAGGTGTTCCCTTGTTTTTCCAGTATTGCGCAAATACAATTCTTGCTGCTGTCAAAACATATAATATTAAATATACATTTCCTTTATCGTATTTTTTTTATGCCTAACAAAAATAATTCTGGTTTGTAGTCTATATGCTGCCTTAACATTTTTTCCAACCATGTATGCATTTTCATCCGATTTTTTTTTTTTTCCTTTTGGACATGTCCACCACTGCAGTGCAGTTTTTCTTTATTGTGATTGCTGGAACGACTTTGTAGCTAATCAAGGTTGATCCTGATGAAAACAGAAAATAATCTCATATGGACAGGTAGCTCTTTTTTTCAACTGTGGTTTGTCACAGCTCTGTTCCATCATACCTCAGCTACAAAATCATTCCACAAACAGGGAATTAGCTTAGCTGTTCTTGCTCCTGCTAGACATGCTGGCAAGATGGTACAAGAGAAGCAGGCTTTTCAGCCACTTCAACTCAAATGGTTTGCCTTTTAAAGATTAGGCATACTGTTCCCTGTGTGCACACGCTGTAGAACAGCAGTCCCCAACCGTTTGGGCACCAGGGACCGGTTCCATGGAGAAAGGGTTTTCCAACAGACAGAAGGGGGCGTGGTTTTGCATGCTGCTTGCATCCCGTGGATGGGGCTTTGCTGGTTTGTGCAGCCTGGTTTCTGGCATGCCATGGCCCGGTGCCGGAGGTTGGGGACAAGTGGTGGGTTGCCCCCAGTTCGGACCAGTTCATAAGAACTGGTAGTAAAACCAGCAGGAGGCCCTGCCCACTGCCCCAGATGTTGTCATCGGCGATCTGTGCATGCGCGATCCAGTTGCGAACTGGTAATAAAGGTAAGTAGAACCCACCCCTGTTGGGGATCCCTGCTACAGAATACCATCAGAGGACAGCAAGGTATTGCAGCTTTCTATATCTGTTTGCATCCACCTAGGTGTAATCAGGATTTTTGCACGGCAGATATTGCAGTCCTGTTAAAAATTAATGTCAGCCATTTAAACTGAGCC